AGCGCGTCATTTCTACCAACGGTAAGTCTCAGAGATCCCTGCATCAATTTTTTTTGGAATCCCAGATGTTTATGGTTCAGAACCTTGGCATAGCCAATGCGTTTGCACAGAGCATTTGTCCGTAGAACATTGATTCAACAGAGTTAAAATTTCTTCTTATTCTGGAGAACCAACGACTGAATTATCTCTCAATTATCTGCTGGCAAGTTTCATTCTCCATCAATAGTAGATATTCAGTAAATTTATTTTGCTGATAGCACTTATAAATGCCCAAATTTTTAGATGGAGTGATGGAGACTGCATTCCTCTGTTCTAATCCCCGCCCCTCCTTCCTCATTTCTTTGCAGGTTCTAATAATTAATTATTCCATCAATTTATCAATTCATGTTTGGTAATCACAGAATGTAATCGACGAAATTATTTGTAATCATGTAATCACATTCTATGCTCTTGGTAATCACGGTTATCACATAGGCAATGGTAATCAGTGTAATCAGTCCCGTAATCCTGAGTAATCAATTACATTTTGTAATCGTGGTGTCACCCAATTCGCCTGTGAATAGCCCTTCGCTCTTGACCAATAATTGGGTAAACTTCGGACGCCGAGACTTGATAAGGGCTCGATCCATATACGGCTTGACTTTTGGGCCTGATTGTCTTGGGATATATTTAAATATCACTCCATTCCATTTTTCTCGCAACACTGTAGTATACGGCACAATCATTTCCCTCTGGATTTATACAGTACCCTTCTGTTTTTTTTTCCGTTCATTTGCATATATCAGCGGCGAAAAATTCAAGTTTCTTCTACTGATGGGTCCCTTTCCCCCGTCCCATTTGCTTTCCTCAATCGTACTTGAGACGAAATTTCACCATTCCATCATCATGAGACCATCTGAGCAATTAAATCAATTAAAACCTGTAATTAGCAGTAACGGATATCGGTGATCGTGTCCAGTGAATTCTGACTACATCGATCCGCCGATAACATCATTAAAAGAAACCCAGCCGTTCAAGAGAATAATGAAAACAAAAAATAAACATGACCCAGTTGTTTACATTTTTCACTTCTTCTTCTCAAGAGAAAAAAAATATTACAGAATTCGTATTATCCACAATTTCGTTCTGCTGATAACTACAAACCACTACGGGCATTCGTTTTTTTATGAGAGCAACACGTCAATCTCAAGGATGTCTTTCCGCGTTACAAGTCTAGTTCTCTCGCGTGCGCACGCGCGGTGTGGACAAAGAAGTTCTGATTTCCACGGAATTCACGTAATTATATATCCCCAGGGTGAGTAAAATAAGAGTGTGCAGATAGTCGAGTTAGAAGTAGAGATTCAACTTATACATGGATGTAAGCACGTGCTTGGTCGAGATCGCGACAACTCGTGCGGAGAATTTTCTGCTTTACATGATGGCCCCCTCTAACTGAGAAAAAGGGGGGCAAAAACTGGAGAAAATGAGAAACAATTTCAAACTCCCGTGATGAGATTTATAAACACGAGAAATCATCTTCATGACATAATTACACTATTATTAATTTAATTGAATGAAATATTTTATATTTAATCTCTGAGTAGAAGGACACTGTGGATGTAGAGATAAATTGTGAGAAATACCACCTTGCAATCACACGCTACCATCTTCATGCCAGTGTGTCACCGACTCGGTTACACACGGTACACGACAAAATAAGTAAGTAGAAGGAGAGTGAATCCAGCGGCTTGCACCTGCGACAATGGAAGAAATCATTCGGCTCTTATTCCGTAATTGGTAAAAAAAATCAACTTTTCCATCTATTTAAAAGAGAGGGAAGCATATATATAACCTGATAACGATGGGCGATTGGTCAGTTGAGTCTCTACAACAAGTGGCTGCAGCAGATCCCGGAATAGAAATCCTGTTTTTTGGAAGTTTCGTGATCATAAAACGGACGGGAGTTTCGCGTCGAGTGGGCAACCAGTTTGCCACAACGATGAAAATTGTCACCACCAGTGCAATGATGATGTGCTTATTCACATCAGATTCCAGAAAGATCTCCTAAAAAAGATAACGAACGTATAAAATTGATGATTTTCCGGCTTGGCACATTTATCCCATTAGGATAAGGCAGATCCACGCCAAATCAGCAGGCCGAAAAAATCGATGCTGGAGATTTTTGTCTCAATTTTTTTGCTGAAAAGATGGCGATTAGACAAGAATTTTGAGAGGCGAAAAATTGAAATATGTTGATCATTAAGGGGGGACATCGGTGAGTTTTGAAAGTCTTTAGTAGAGCTAGAGACCCATTGAGCGACTTTTGATATATGACGGGATATGTTAAAAAGTGAGAAAGAGGATGACTCAAGTCGGTTTTGCCCCATACATCTCCGAAGAACGACGTTTTGCATGTTTTTAGCGTCAGAATGGTCCTCGTACCACAGTTTTCATCCGATTGACCTTTTTTTTTCAAATGTTCGTTAGACTCCAAAGAACAAAGTTAAATTAAGTTAATCCGTCAATTGAATCATTCAAAAATGAAAAAAATGAAAAACAAACAAAGACTTTTCAGGCAAAATGCAGATGCTAGGAAAAAAAAAATTTTTTTTTCATTTATTTTTATTTTTGAATGATTCAATTGACGGATCGTAAAACGGCCACTTAACTTTGTTCTTTAGAGTCTAACGAACATTTAAAAAATAAAAAAGGTCAATCGGATGAAAACTGTGGTGCGAGGACCATTTTGAAGCTAAAAACATGCAAAACGTCGTTTTTTGGTGATGTATGGGGCAAAACCGATTTGAGTCATCCTCTTTCCCACTTTTTAACATATCCCATCATATATCAAACGTCACTCAAAGGGTCTCTAGCTCTACCGAAGACTTTCAAAACTCACCGACGTCCCCCCTTAAGGGAGTTGAGATTTTTTGAAAATGGTTAGTTTTTGTAAACAATTTTTTTTTCCAAATTGGCGTCAATATTTCTGCGGGGTTTCAAGCTATCAAATCCCCCTTGGCACACTCATGGAACATGAAAACCCCTTCAAAATGAGACGTCATATGAAGCATTATCTTCATTCTGACAAGTTTATACAAGACTAGGGCGCTTCGCCTCCCCGGTTGTTACGATGCGACCCATTAGGAGCGATTGGTTTGTTTTCGGAAAAGGTTCCAGTCAACGCCTTGAAAGCCCCATATGAACCTCACATGGTCCTCATATGACCCTCACATGACCCTTGTTTTGCCTCTCATTATCATTCTTCTCTTACCCTTATCGGGAACCTACTTCTCACTGTATCCTAACCCTTATCGTAACCCTAATTCTGACCTTATTCCTGATCCATATCCTGAACCTAATCCTGACTCTTGTAACCGTTGGTTTCAAGTCTTAATTTCCTATCGCCAGAATTTCATTTGGGTTTTTATAATATAGAGAGAAATGTGTTTTTTAATTGGTAAATACTAAAAAAGCTAATTTTTAAACAATCTGAAATTTTCACCAAACATTGTAAATAAAATGAACGGAATTTTGCCACCAGTTGGGGTTTGTCTTTCGCTGTAGTTCGGCGATTATTACCTTTTCAGTGGGACAAGTATTGAAAATGACTGAAAATCGCTACTCCTCATGCAATTATCCCCCAAATAATTGAATCTTCAATTGAATGATAAAAAATGAGTCAATTCAATTAAATTCTCGTTTACCACCATATGAAAGCTCTTTGAGAAATGTATTTCCATTGTATAATTAGAGAAATAATAATTTTTCAGTAGTAATACCCCAAGAGCTTCAAAATTATCCGGTATTTCCCGATAGCTTCGTTGCAAACAAATAAGAGTGTCAAGTTTTGCAGGTGAAAAAAGTTTTTCTGCAAAACTTCTTTCACCTGCAAAACTTGGCACGATGGAAATACCCGAATAATTTTGAATCTCGAGGGGTATTTGTCGGATTATTTTTCTCAATCGGATTTTGGCCAAGCAGAGTGCAGTGGACAACAGCAGGAGGTGAATTGGGGAAGATTTGAACAAATTATGTTGACAGAATAATCCGACTTCCATAGACTGTCAAAAATAAGATTCTATCTGACATGAGCCGAAAAAATGAAGAGTTACTGCGAAATATTCAGGTAACAAAAATGAAGAACTACTGCGAAATATTCAAATGCTAGGAGGAAATATCCGAAATGAAACTGTCGGGCAGCCTCAAATACTGCGATTGGGAAAAATAATCACTCCAAAAATCATACCGAAAATGAATAATAGAAGATATAATGAGTCCAACCTCCATCATTTCTAATATTTAATTGAGTATTCACTTATTTGGGCTATAATTACATGAATAATAACTATTTTCGATCATTTTCAATACTCGTCGCAATGAAAAAATTGTTGACATTTTATTCATAATTTTTGGTGAAAATTTGAAATTAAAAAAAAAATTAGCTTTTGGAGTAATTAACGATTTAAAAAAATAATGTTTTCTCGTATAAACCCCGTCAAACCGAAGATAATGTTATGTATGACATATCATTTTAAAGGGGTTTTCATGTTATTTAAGTGTGCCAAAGGACGATTAGATAGCTTGAAACCTCGCAGAGATATTAGAGCCAATTTGAAAACACAAATTCCTAGTAGTTGCCTAGTAGTTGCCAGGGGCGACTCTCGTATAGCATACGTGTGGCTAATGGCGGAACATCCCCGCTAGCGCGCCTAATATATCACACCAAATGTCCGGGCGCGCCCGCCCACCGAATGTCGCCCTGCCGGTCAGAATTTCTGCTAGGTATTTTTTGGACAAAAACTAGCAACTTTAAAAAAATCACGACTCCCTCAATTATTAATATAAAAAAAAAAATTATTCAATATTTTTGTCTAATCACCATCTTTTCATAAAAAAATTGAGACGAAAATCCCCAGTATCGCCTTTTTTGTCCTGCTGATTTGGCGTGGATCTGCTCATAATTATGACAGAGTGTTGTAAAAAGTTTGTGGCACCGTCGTTGTGATTCAAAGACATCAAGAAAAACGGCAGACTCATACTGCTTCGGTTACGGTCCTCAGAAGTGCGAAGAAGGAGTAAGAGTTCCGTAAGATCTGCGCAAACATGTCACAGAGTTCAATGGATGTCTGCTGGTGACATATATCAAATATTAGAGGAATAGTGTTTGCTTCCTTACGGAGATGAGGGTGTGCATAGACATGCTGTAGTAATTTCCAGCCCGTAATTGCAGTGGATTTTTTGATCTCATCATTGACATGAGCATCAGTGTCTTGACTTTATGATTATCGAGCTGATGCTCCCAGCCTGACTGCCACTGACTCTCGAACAACGAGGTACTCTGCAGAAGGACAGTAAATTTTTATAACTCTTAACGAGCTCCTTGGATGTACGCTTCAAAAGAAGGACATTTGGATTGACAACCAGTGAGAATTTATTGATTGGTAAGTGTTAAAAAGCATCATCCTTGTTTCTAATAATGCTAATGAGTTTGCCATGACGATGGCAGGATGTGTTTTGATGATTGCAGGAACCCTAGTCATTGAGGTACTGAAGTTATTTTTAAACACCAGGCTTAGAAGACTTTTGGATATCGTGAATTGTTCACATTATTTATGATTCACAAATTAAGTGTAATTTCGTTTTGGAAAAGTCATGACTTTATTGCGATACAAGCGAAAGCTCTAAACTGGTGGGCAATTATTATCAGTGATGAATCTGTAGGCGTCAGGTGTTTGTCATCCTCCATCGTCCTTTATACGACTATGATTTGAATTAATATCTTGAAGGTTATTGCATTGTCTATTGGTGAGGGGTCGCAGTATAAGACGGAAAATTATGCGTAAAAGGATGAATGATAAATATATTCCATGCCAACCCGCAATTTCTACTCTTATGAACGTTAATTGACATGCTCAGAGTCAAGTACAATATCAGTATGCAGTTTCTTTGAGTTTTCATTACGAATGAGCATCATTCGTTTGCCTGACACTCCTGATGAAGGCTGATTTTAAATAGTTCTTATTTTCCAAATTTATTTCATGAACAAACAGGCCAATTTTGATTTGATTTCACGTTACTTTTTAAATAAAAATACTGCAATGTGCGAGAGCACTAGATTTGAATTTCAATTTATTTCTCCACTGTTAACACTTTTTGAATGCAGTAAACTCTACAATGTAATATAGTAATGATTTTCGCTGGTACTATGTTACATTGTAGAGCTAACTAAGCTACATGATGGAGCGTCCTATGTTAAGGTGTCCTGATATAACCTATCATAATGAAGAAGAAATAAGTAATGTTTTCTAACTAATCAAGACTTTATTAATTCGCAATGCGATAATTATTTAGATGGCGAAAAGGAAGGATTTATTAATCATTTAATTGTAATTGAGGATTTGCGCCTAACGGATGCACTTAAAATTGTACTTGAAGTAAAAAATGCATAGAAAAGGGCCCACTTTGTCGCTTCTAGTTTCCGAGAAATTCACATTTTGTCTCCGTATCCCTCATTTAAACCAACGTTAAATGTTTTTTTTGACGATGTTTCAGAAAAATCACCTGATATATAAGTTGATTTCCACTCCAGCACCAATTGACTAATTGAGACATTGCTGCACCGAGATAGACGATGAACTTCAAGACGCTTTCCTTAGATGATGCTCCCTAATACATAGAAAATACACTGATGGAATGATTCATTTATTCCAAACAAGATTCATTAACTATCAACGAATGGTAGAGTTGAATATGACCAAATAAATATTCGTCAATAGTTAACAAATGGCTCACTTGAAAGGTGAAAGTCGATGCAAACAAGGATCCTCAAGTACGCATTTGTTAACTATTAACGAATGAACATTTGGTTGAACCGAATAGACCCTAGCCTCCAACGAAATCCATTTCAGTAGTGAAGTGGTAAACGGAGATAAGTCGACTTATCTCCCAGTTCAGTTTTTCAGAAATATTTAAGGGAGATAGCGAAATTTTTGTAATTACATTTGTTGCAACACTCAATCGGCTCCATAAAAAAGGTTATTAGAAACATTTTGCTATCTACCTTTCGATTCCGAGATATTGATGGAAAACTGGTCAATAGTCAAAATTGACTTATCCCCTTTTACCACTTCGCTACTGATTTGTTAATAATAACTAATCCTTTCTATCAGTGTAGTATTCAAGGAAGTCGTAAATATTGTCATAAGCAGCAACTCACTAGGACAGCTTGAAATCCAGCGAAACATATCATGGAAAAGCTTGAGAAGACCTGCATAAGCATGCAGCCGCTAAAAATGGAGTTGAACTCGTCGATTGCAACGATTATTCTCTGATGATTTATCTCACAAAGATTGAATCTTTTAACGAAGGAGTCACCGTCTTCTTGCTCTTCTTCCTTCCGGAAAGGCACAAATTTACATATGATGAGGTCTTCTTCGCTTACTTTTAATACCGATAGCCGTTTTGACGGACTACGTAGAGAAGAGCATGTTTTCAGTCGGCATCGATCATGTACATGGACGATGCATTTTTCATAATTGGAAGCCAATGTTAGCAATTGAATACTAAGACATCTACAAATGTTGATGGCTAAACTGTCCATTGCGACAATGGAATACAAGCCAAATGTAATCGCTGCTGTTTGCAGGCACATTGCTATCTCATGACCTGGTGAGATAGTTGTGTCGAAGGGAAAACTCGTCTTTATTGGAAGTTCACCATCGGTTTTCGGTACGAATACCATTAAAGCGATTACAAGAAATGCCGCTAGGATAATGAAAAAGTATAACAACATTCTCTCGTAGAAAAGTGTTGTTTTTAAGAGTGTTTGTAGCCCCATATCTGAAATATTATTGGAATGTACTTGCAGCTTATAGTAATCAGGATAAACTATGCGGAATAAACAGAAATTTTGTGGATAATCTGGTAGTATTTAGCAAGATAATCATATTGAATTCGATTTAAGGGAGAAATGGTTATGGTAATCGTGGAACGAAATTGTAGTTCAATAAAAGATGCCTTTGGCGGAGAATATCTTATTATTCGTTCGATAAAAAAAAACATCTATAGCTGCAAAAATTACTGTAGAGTAAAATTTCCCAAACGGTACGGTATTTTTTTCTAGCTTCGATGTGAAAGACATGGGGACGAACGAAAGTGAAATATGACCATACCGCGTTTGTTAGAAAATATCACTTTCCGTTACAGGAAAAATCCTCAACATGTGAATGATTGCTCATTATTGCGTCATCATTCACATTCATGGCATAACATTTGATAGCATGAAAGGTTAATTTTACCGTTTCATCACAAATTACCCTCATAAGTTTGGTAAATTTTCTCAAGTCAGCAGAGATAAATTCACTATTTTCTCGGGTGTTTTGCCTCGACGTAGGTTGCAAAAGGTCTAGAAATGGATTTCGCATCACGATGACATGACTTGTTTGATATTTTTTCTCCCTTTGTTTATTTGTAGACCTAATATGGAAATTTTCCAATTTACTTAGATTTTCAATTTGATACCTAAATTTTTAGAATGTTTCTGAATTTTTACTCAACAATTGAACTGAATTTGGCAGTTGAGCGCGTCCTCGTCAATGTTTCTGAATATTGTAGTAACGAAAATTTTAGGTGTCTCGATCGTGGGGAATTACGTGTACAGTTTAGTTATAGATAGTTTAGACGTTGGGGAACTACGCAAGGGTAGTTACATTGTAAAGTATTTCAGACGTTAAGGAAAATATTTTATTAAGGTAGGATTAAGTCTAGACGTAGAGTTTTATTGTTTTATTACGGTAACGCCGTAGCACCCTCATTGATGACGCACGACCCCCTAGCTGACCCACGCTGCCACGTTTCGGGAAAACTTCCAAATATGGAAATGGCGAGTGAGGCCCAGAAAGTGCGTAGTAGTGGGGGAAGGACGCTAGGAGGGACGAAGGAGTGCATTTAAGGGATGAGGGTACAACGAGGAGGGCAGTTCATTGCCGGGAACGATTAGACGCATATTGAAGTCGAAGAAGTAGACGAAGTCCTCATCAGAGGCATTAGACGATTTAGCCGTTTTTCTTGAAGTGTTCGTAAAATAATAATTGTAAATAAAATATTTCGATTAAAGTGATTAGATTTATCCAGCTGTTTTATCTTTTTTAAATATACCCACAATATGGTCATGATTTTTTCTGGATTATATAATTAGATATGGCTTCAGTTAAAATTACAGATTTTTTGAAAATTTTGCGTTTTTTCGCTTGTAAGAAAAAACGTTCCGATTTCCTTCGATTTAACGTTTAGATGAAAATTAAAAATTCAGGTCATTTCGATTCTGAATATTCATGTTCAATTAAGCATTCAGGAAAGTTTTGTAATTTTGTTTATTTCATATAGTTTTGCAATTTTTGTCTCAAAAAACTGAAAACTTATAAATTTTCTTAAATTCTCTATGAAACTTGAAATTTACTATTTTCCTCTGGAATCGAATTCAATGTCGCTGATAATTCCTATCTCATTATCCATGAAATTTCAAATTTCTTCAGTTCATTGAGGAATGCCTGCAACAAAGGCATAGTTCCCCATTTGTCCCGAAATAAGAATTTAGTGACAAATGAAAAATGTAGTATAGTGTGTACATTAGATTAGATTGCAGTATATACTCTCTATGACTTCGCTTCTCTAAGATTTCAGTTGAAGAAATTATCTCCCCCCACCATTAACAATCTAAGCGTGTGTAAGTGGTGTATGGGTTCCTCTGCGCGATGGGAGTGCGCAGTAGGACCACTGGCGGTACGGGAGGATTGGAACTGACAGATTCTCTCTCTCAGTTCTTCTTTTTCCTCAGTCAAACCGTCGAGGTATGAGCAGGGGCGTCCCAATCACTTGAGGATTTTCTCCCTGTACCGCAGCGGGGTGGTGTACGGGTAGGGAGGGGCAGAGAATTTGTACGTGTTCCAATTCCTGAATACGAAAAAATCAAGTTTTCAATTAGCTCGTTGAGGTAATATTCGATGACTTCGGTGAAATTAAAATTTTTTAAATAACATAATCGTCATTACGATCTGTAAATTACAATATAAATTTTGTAGAAAGATGTTTAATAATTGTTTAAATAATAAAAATTCAATACGGAACAGTGCACTGATAGAAAAAATCTTTGACACGACAGAAGTGGTTTCTTGAGACAAGAGAATGGGGTTTTGACCATGAATCTCTTGATACAAGAGATTCTTAGTTTTACCTAATTGAAGTATATTCTGAGAGGAAGATGTGTGCCCTCAGGACCGATTTACTTGATTGGAAACCCTATCACCTCTGTCGAAAATCATGAAAAACAGAATTATCTATAGCGAAAAGTACGAATTATTCACACAAGAGAATAGAAACTTCATCAGATTGATATTAAATGTAAGCAAGATTACTTTCCGCCAAGAGATTCTTGCCAGTGAGTCTAATCTAATATGGAAAGCATTATGATGCACGCGAAACTTCCTGCTCTTTCCGTACAATATTTAATACTTTATAGCAAGTTCCCCTATTTCTTTGATCCAAAGTCATGAAGAATTCATTCAGTTANTGAGTCTAATCTAATATGGAAAGCATTATGATGCACGCGAAACTTCCTGCTCTTTCCGTACAATATTTAATACTTTATAGCAAGTTCCCCTATTTCTTTGATCCAAAGTCATGAAGAATTCATTCAGTTAAAACGGCGCGAATGATGTAGTTTCTTGAGCCAAGGACTTGTACTCTACGTGTCAGAGATTTTTTCTATCAGTGTGGCAACTCGTTCACTAGAAAATTTTAGTGTCACGAGTTGGTAGCATCGAGTTCCCAACCGCTCTGGACTGTTTTCCTCCACACTATAAATACACTCAATACTAACTCACAGTGGAATAATTATGGCAATTTCCTCAATTCTGATTCTGACCAATCAGAGTGCCGTATTCGGGGTCACGTGATGCGTTTCACACTGATAATTTCCTCGGCTGCAGGGAAATTATCAGTCTGATATTTTCCCTGTAGCCTTTCAATTGTTTTCTACGAATTTGACAGATATTCCTCACATTTTGGTGAAATGTGTCCCGTAACCCCGAACACTGCACCCTGATCGGCCAAAATCAGAATTGAAGAAATTGTCTTCCGAATACCCCTCGACATTCAAAATTCATCGGATATTTCCCTCAAGTTTTCCTGCATATCAACGATCGGGATCAGTTTTGTAGTAAAATCCCTCGCGCTGCGCGCTCGGGATTTTAATCTGCAAAGCTGATCCCTCGCGTTGCTATTCAACTAAACATTCAGGAAATATCCAATAATTTTGAAGGTCTTAGGGTATTCTAGCTGATTATTACACTGACGGTGATAAGTGTTTTTCAACAAACAATATTGAAAAAATATTTTGTGAATATTGGGTACAGTGTATATTGTGAATTCTGTCTCAAATGCGCTCCTCTCACATAACCTTATCTGTTACTGGCTACCATGTCAAAGGAGGGATGAAAAATTTCACCCAAAAACAATACAATAGAAAACTTTTGCAACAAAAATCTCTTCAACAATAGAATACGAAAATCTAAGGAAAGTTCTGGGAATGACAACAAACGGACAAAAACCCCGCACGTGAATGAGTCATTGGAAAATCAACAGAAATACCATGCGTAATGCTCCCGATACCTGATGCGCCGATTTGTGTTTAGTGCCTGTCCACTCCTCACTATCAACAGTTGCGACGGTGCTCCATATTGGAGCTGTGTGCGAAAAAATTTTAGCGGAAGGCGAATTTTTTATATCTTTTCAACATTTTGCGAAGTTTCATGACATTAAGAGAATTTTTCAGGCTTTTTCCAAAAAATTTGTGGGTTTTCCAAACGAATATGTGTTAAATGATAATTTTTTGAAGAATCATAACATTATCACGCAGGTTCGGAGAAATCTGGGATTTTTCATACAGCTCTCGAATAGATTAAAGAAGTTTAGAATAAAAAAACGATCAATTTCTGATATTTTTAAAAAATACTAAAAATGCATGGAGAAATTCGTTAAATTTGTGAAATTCGTATCCCCGAAGTCTTAGGGAGTATCCACTATAGTTCTGTTGAGTTCGTCTTTTGCATCATATAATTAAAAAAATTTTCTACAAAAAAAAATGAATAAAAATTCTGATTGCATCTGAGAAATTTCGCTTATTCACTATAATATGATATATATATGTATATACCTAGGAGATTATAGAAAAACATACCGGACGATTGCGAAAGCACGTCCAATGGTCTATACACCTCCTCGATGAGGTCTTTTATTTTTCTGTGTTGTTTGTTGAAATTATACAATTTGAAAATTATCACAGATATTCCAGCCAGGTAACATGCATCATCAGTCGCAACGAGTAGATCTCGGTAGTTGAGTACTAAATGTGCGAAGAGCGTACTAAAGAAAATCATAATAATGGTATAAATAATGGCTTTATAGATGAGATAAAGAAACCGCATAAGACTAGCCGTTGACCCGTCGAAACTCCAAATACCACATAATCTGGAACACGAAACATGATATATTTTCAGTGAAATCTTATAGAATAACAGTAAGAAACTTTAGTTTATGGGCGACTTCACTTTAAGAGTATGATAAACATATTCAGCACGCTACGGTGCGTATAACCTGGCGGCGTCTCAGTCGCCTCCCGGGTGCGCATCATATTTGTAACGTATCGATGAAAGAATGATATTATGAGGGATTTTTTTTTCCCTCTAAAAATGTTTTATAAAAAAGTGAATCATCGATTTACTACCTCCATGCTATCATGAGTTATTTTCTCCAATTTGAATATGGGATGATCCGATAATTCTGTCCTGAATTGTACATGATACCAAAGTGTCTGAGCTGTGATTGCGCACTTCAGTATGTATGAGTAACAGCTGGTAGGGCTCCCTCAGGTAGCCAACACTTTTCCGGTAATACCTTGGCTATTGTGGTTGAATTCGATGGTAAGCGATACCTTGCGTCGAACCGTTCTATTCGAATGTATTGTAGATCCTATACTTATTACGGGGGTTTGAAGTCACGCACACTCTACGGAAAATGATTGTTCCATTAGAAATAGGAGTGGTGAGTTTCCAGGAAGAAAAAAGGTGAATATTATTTTTTTCTACGGAAAGTGGTCTGCTCAAAAGTACACACTTGAAGGGGAAAAAATAAAATCATCAGTTCCAGCGGGATTTGAACTGTTCCTTTCAACGTAGAACACCTCCCGTATGGTTATTTATCCATTACATTACAATGGTTAGTGGAGAAATTGTGATTTTATAAAAAAAAAAATTTGTCAGAAGTGGGATTCGAACCCACGCCCTCAGAGAGGACCAGAATGCCCATCAACTCAGTGTACACTGAGAAGGTTATCAACCTTGAGTCTGGCGCCTTAGACCGCTCGGCCATCCTGACAATTGTGACATCGCAGTAGCAAATACATCATCATACTCTACCATACGAGTTTCGTTGCATAATTAAAAGTTTTTTTCGCAAACTCGAGATTTTTTCAGCACAACTGTATTCATAATGTTTTCTAACAACATAAAAATGAGTATTTAAAAACCAAGAGAATTTTTATCGTAGTAACTATTATATCGTCATATTCTATTATACGAGTTTTGTAGCATAATTACAAGTTTTTTTCACAAAGTTATGGTTTTTAAGCACAAGTGTATTAATAATGTTCTCTAACAATATAAAAATGAGTATTTAAAAATCAAGAGAATTTTTATCGCAGTAACTAATTTATCGTCATATTCTGCTATACGAGTTTTGTTGCATAATTATAAGTTTTTTTCCACATAATCATGGTTTTGTAAGGTCAACTGTGTTGATAATTTTTTCTAACAACATAAAAAAGAGTATTTCAAAAAAAAAAAATTATTGTTTCCGCCCGGGGTCGAACCGGGGGCCTTGTGCGTGTGAAGCACACGTGATAACCACTACACTACGGAAACTTGATGTTCTAGGTTGAAATTTATAAGCCTGAATAGCTGCGGAGCTAGAGTAACAGAGTAATAATTCTTGATTTATAACATTTTAACCAAGAATGCAAATTTGAAAAAATTCAAGGAAGATACACACAGAAAAAAATCTTTATTTTGAGACTTCAAAGATATTAAATTGAGACGTTCGAAAGTCAAGTTTTGGGATTTGAGAATTTCGAAAGAATCAAATAGACATTCTCAAGTCTCAATTTGAGACTTGAAAAGCTCCATTTGTTTCTTATGAAAGTCTCCACTGGAGATAAAAATTGAGATTTTCAAGGCTTACATTGAGACTATCGAAACATCAAGTTTAGAGTTTCAGAACTCGGTTTAAGATTTTAGAAAGTCCCAATTTCAGATCATAAATCTCCAATTGAATTTTTTTTTCGGGGTATAACACTCATAATAATTACTACAATACAGAAACTTGTTAGTCTACGTAGTAAATTATAACTCTGCATAGCTATCGAAATCGAGGGTCATTCTTAAATTGCAAAACTTGACCTAGAAATGGAAAAGTATGATAATTTTATTTAAAATTTGTGGTGGAAAATCGTGTTGTTCAACGTTGACCGTTATTTTTTTGGTAATTTTCTGTCAATTCATTTCTTTACTAATTTTAGATATTTTCTCAGAAATTGGAAAGAGAAAGAGGGTATCGCGTCAAATGATCCCGGTCAAAAAATCCTCTCCAAAATGATCCCGAGCAAAATGATCCCCAACAATATGATATGAGCGATAGTAGTAACGAGAATATTTTCCATCCATACTGCACCATCAGAATCAGAATCTGAAATTTGTTGAAATTTTTGTGAAGAAAATGATGACTTAGACTGTTAATAGTGTCGTGTTGTTAATAGCGTTTAATGTATTTATGTGGAAAATTATTGTTCAATTTTGTGATGAAAATGATGACTCAGGAATTAATGTATTTATGGAGTATTTATGTATTATAATTGATTTATTAATAGGTCGATTATTGTTCAATTTTGTGATGAGAATGATGCCTCAGGAATTAATGTATTTATGGAGTATTTATATATTATAATTGATTTATTAATAGGTGAATAGTGTTGTTAAAATGTTTTAATTATTTAAATAGACGAGTATATTGTCACTTTTGATGTCGTCCGAGGATCATTTTGTCGCGGGATCATTTTGAGGGATCTCTTTGTTCGGGATCATTTGACGGGGATCCCAATTTCCACGACTCAATTGACCTAAATTGTGCCTAAATTGACTGGCCATGTCTTCCGAACTATTCTCAAATTTCACACCCATTAGACGAAACATTTGTCAGAGTATTTCCGATGCGAAGTCAATTTTGCTGATCGGTCACATTGAAAACATCATTTGGAAATATCATATTCGAATATTTTGGTTCAGCCAATAGTTACAGATTTTGCGTTTGTGGAATTTTGCGATCGATTCAAGGACCGTGCGACTGCGTGCCTGATATTAATTCAACGCAGCAATATATATGGAATTCCCAACTGTTTTTAGTTTCTACGCTCGACAGCACGAGAAAAGATTCTCCCTATTTGTACTTTCCCATGGTCTTCATCTTTTCTCTCACCGTGTTATGACTCCAACATGGGATGCGCTTTTCAAGTTGCACAAATAGTGATGACGCTTTTAATATATGTACTTAAACTCTCCAGTTCGAGGAGCTGGGAACTGCAAGATCGAATGACACCATGACTACAAAATGCTGTCGATTTCACTCGATTACGTTAGTATTTCAATGATTTCATTGAATTTATGTATTCAGCAGTTGCAAGCATGAAATCAGTGATTTCATAACTCATTGAAATCATTGAAATATTACAGAACTTGAATCATAATTCTGTAGCGAAGCGGTAAATCGGTTTAAGTCGATTTAGACTATTGGTCAGTTTTGAACGAATATCTCGGAACCTAAGGAAGATAGCAATTTTTTTGTAATAACCTTTTTTGTAGCTCTCAATTCGCTCCAGAAAAAATGTTGTGATGAAAATTTCGCTATTTCTCTTAGATTCGGAGATATTCCTCCCAAAACTCAGCGAAAAGCTAAGTCGACTTGACCCGGTTTACCGCTTCGCTACTGAATTAAGACCTAAGGATTGACATCTTTGGCTTCCGGATGGATGCCAAAGACGTCATTAATCATGGCCGCGAAAGCCTCAAAACTAAGACCTAAGGATTATTTATTAGAACTATAAATAATATAGTATATCTAATAAACTAATGACCAATGCTACAAGTATTTTTTTCACTTCTCTCAAAATACTTTGATCAACTATGCAGTTCCTCTTATCATCAAAAGTTGGAGATGAAGTAATCTCTTGGCACTAGTTGATATCGACATACCTTTGAGGCGCCATTGACTACGGCAGTAACGTATCTGAAACTTCTTTCATGAAATATCAAGACCCGAATCGGGCTTGAATCGGAATGGAAATTCTCGAAGGCGTGTACATGCGTTTCATATCTAGTAGAAATTTCATCGTGCAGAAACGTCGCGGCGTAAGTTGGCGCGCGACATTGCCTTTCGCGGCGATGTACCTCAGAAAGGTACGCAGCAAGGTCACTGAGACAGGGCTGCGCGGGGTTTATGCGGGATGGACCTATCTGTGTCTGCCGTAACCTCAAATCTCGTCAATTAAGAATTCACAACCTTCAAATTATGCGTATTAATCCAAATTAATTATTGAAAGATTAACGATTTGTTAGGGAATAATAATCTCTCGCAGCCAATTGATGATTATTCTTATCGATAAAATGAAAAAATGGGAGCGCACCGCGTCAGTGTTGCATACACTGATAGAACGGTTTAGTCGAATCAAATGAGACATTTTAACTATTGCCACGATTCGTTAACTATTAACTAATCGCGGTAACAGTTAAGAAGCCTCGTTTGATGCACCTGAATCGTTCCACCTTTTCTATCAGTGTAAGATTCCAGCAGCCACCTAGCCGCGGAGTACGGCAGCGCAGTCCGTGTGTGAATGTCGCTGCAGACAGCCAATGTAGCAGAGCCTCTTACAATTTCTACTAGGGATGAAATAGTACATTGTCATTAGGTGATAAAAGTATTAGCTGGCGAATGTGGCTTTATAATCCGAGCTTAAGGCGAGGATTATAATCACATTCGTCAAATAATACTTTTATCGCCGTGTGACATACAATATTATGTCATTATGCCCGACAGCAGTTTCGTGGTTTTCGGGCCCAATGACATAAAAAATAATAATCATAATTTTGTATTGTATAGGTAAAGTGAGATCTAGACGACGGTCACATGCATATCGTCATTTCTTTGATTTTATTGATTTCAGACGTGACTGCAAATTGATTTCAGTGGCATCATTTCAGAAATTCCCAGCCCCTCGCTCTAGTCTGCTTTGGCTAGAAAAAGTAGTTTGCATATTTGAACTCAGTATTAGACTTCTAAATCCAAGACAACGGGATTGTTCATTTATACATTTGATTATCGT